TCCCTACACTCCAGAATGAAGGACAAGCACTATCAGGGGAACAGGCTTCAGACACTGAAGCCGAAACCTTCTGGAAGAGCCCAAGAGGCAGAAACATGCAATCCTGCACTCCATGTGAGACTTTTGGGATGACATACTATCCATTCAAGTGCAAACAGAGAAGAATAAATGGTGGAAAAGAATCTTATGGAGATTTCATTCATAATAAGTGGATTGGCAGGCTCCAGGCTGACAAAGCTCTTCCCTAAGGTCTAGCTTTTCAGGAGAGAAGGAAGCAATATTATGTTCCCTCTTCCACTCACCTCTTTCTGCTGCTCAGGAAATAGTTATGGAAACATAGCAATAAGATGAATAGAACAGATGTGGCTTTCCAAAAGATTTTCAATATGATACTTTATGTTCTAAGTACTTCATTGTAAATACAGTTTTTGCCTCCTCCTTTCATGCCCTGCAGGTGAACCTGGCCTTCTGGTTGTCCGGGTGACACAGGAAACCCCATTTTCTGGATATGCTGGAAATAAAGAAATCTCAGAGAAGAAACTCCTGCGTAATGTGTTTGTGAAAGGAGATGTGTACTTTGACACAGGAGATCTCCTGGTGATGGACCAGAATGGCTTCCTTTACTTCAGTGACAGGGTGGGAGATACTTTCAGGTGAGATACAGAGTTACCAGTTAATCCAGTAAGATGGAAGGAAATCAATTTTCCTTGAAGGACATCACACATATACAGGACTGGATAGCACAGCTCAGACCAGAACCTTATGAACACTTTTTTGGTTTTAACAAAACCATTAAGGATCTCTTCCAGGGTACAAATGTTCAGACCCCTAGAATAGTCATGGTGGACAATTTTTAAAACTTGAGTCAAATGGCACTTCCTTTTCTTTTAAGGCTGGAGGTTCAAATTAGATGGCACTAAATCAGAACTGGGATTTCAACTAAGATGGCACTAAATTAGAAGTGGTTTTATCTGTCTACACTTCTCAGTTAAGAATAACAGTAGTCTACATAAGCAGTAGCGCTCCATCACACATAGCCATTTATAGAATAAAAAATTGTTAGCTAATATATATGTTATTTTAAAAAATATTTTCAACAGATGGAAAGGAGAAAATGTTGCCACTGTAGAAGTCTCTGAGATCATTGAGATGATGGATTTCGTTCAAGAAGTCAATGTTTATGGTGTAAGCGTAAAAAGTAAGAATCCTCTTACAGTTTGTAAATATTAAATGAAAGTAATAATTAATTTTCCTACTCTGTCTTTTCTGTTCTTATACACAAATGCACACTTATATGTAAGGATATCAGTGGAGTTAATTGGGAAATTCAGGCTTTCTTAAAGTGCGTTGAAATTTCTGTTTCAAAGAAACGGAGTATTTAATAAAGATGACACGCTGAAAGTTTATAAGGAACAACAGAAACATTTGGTTGAATTGAAACTCGTAACACAGATGTGAGAAATACAAAATTATAAACTATAGAAGACTTCTGTTAGAGTAGAGCCTTTCATCTGAAAAATGCTAAACCAGGGAGCATACTAAAACATGACGTGTGAAAACACCTGTCACCATCTCATAAGCACAGTCCTAGAAGATACCTATTTTTTTCACACTTGGAATGCTCCCAATGGCCTATGGGGCTCTATAAATGTACAATATCAAGCTGAAAAGATGTAGGCCACTGAGTTACAAGCTGAGGTGAAAAAGAACTCAGAAGATGCATCCCCTGCATGAACAGTTTGAGGAGAGCAAACTCTTATGGCATTGAATAGCTGTTCTGTGCTTCCCATGGATGAAAGCAAACAAAATCCAACATTAAAAAAATCCTGTCACTTGAAGAAGCAGCTAGCAAGATACAAGCTATTACTTAGCATCGAGAGAAGGGAGATCCGGTGCATTCAAAAAGAAACAGGATATATGAAAACTGAATAAAAAGAAGGCCAAAATCTGAATGGCTGGCCAGCAGGTGGCTAGGAAATAGTAATGGAATATGTTCATTTGGGGGAGATGGCATCCTCCTTCAAGTGGACACAAATAAAATCGAAAACTCACGTGGATAGCATACCCCATTCTCAACAATGATTAGAGCTGACAAGCTCTCCTGAATGGCTGCAGCTATCCGGAATTTTATGGCAGAGAATAACATGCACCATCAAAACAAATCCCCTAGACCTTAAGAATCACATTCATCCTTGGCTATCTTAAACTGCTTTGAGTATTAGTATAACAACATGATGGTGTTTCGTACTTCTGAATCAACTTGAGTCTCAAAAACTGCCAATCACCAATTAAACAACTCCAAGTTAATCTCCATGAAAAGGGAACGCCCACATTTTATCCTTTCAGTGCCTTGATCACACCTCAAAGCTGCTATTTCCCTCTGGACAGACTCGATCCTGGCAGCTCACTTCTTCTAATTTAAATGTTTTGTCCATTTGGAACTTTCACTTGTGTGTGAATAAAGAGAAAGTAGTAACTGTGTTTGTTACATCTTTCTTAATAGGTTTTTGTCCCTGTTTTCATGTAGAACATAATGTACTGCTTGTAATTTACTATGAGGCATTTGCCACTATATTTGTTACTAATCTGCCCACGGAGGAGAGCAGGAGCCAATTACTCGGCACTGCTTATACAATGTACAGTAGCCATTAGAGTTGGTATATACCACAATGCATATTCACATGTGACCACATACTCACTAGTCTTCGTGGAAGTGCTTCCAGCTTTTTATTGACTAGTGGTCACTCTGATTTTAGTAGACCACTATGTTAAAAATGGAAAGATTAAGCAAGGCAGGAAGGAGAGTTAGCAGCCAGCTTCAGCTCTACAGAATTCCTAATAAAAAGAAGATGCTGAAATTTTTTAATTGAGTAAAAACCCTGGAAGTAAGTAAATCTTCCAAAATAAAATATTTTTTATCTTCTACTGAATGATGCCTGAGAGGATAGGACAGATACTACAAAGGCTCAAAATCCTTGCTGACCAAAGCTAAATCCCTCCAGAAGTGACAGAAGATACCTCCTTCATGCAGATAACTTGTGTTTGTGATAATATTTTTCAATGCCTTTATAGATTACGAAGGAAGAATAGGGATGGCAGCTATTGTACTTAAGCCTGACCAACCCTTTGATGGAGAAAGACTTTACAAGCATGTTGTGGACTTCCTTCCAAGTTATGCCCAACCACGCTTTGTGAGAATCATGGTAAGACAAATCAGTTGTTTGCATTTATCTTTGGTCTGATCTGGAAATTGGTCCCTATAATTGTGGAAAGTAGAAAGTAACTTACAAACAGTTTCAAGAAGTCAAATGCAAAAGTAATACTAAGCTAACATTCAGAAAAAATTATTCTGAAGTAATTACTTGATGAATTAAAAATATGTTTTGCTTTATGAATCCATTTGCACCTAATGATCTTAGATGTGCTTAATAACTTCGCAAAGTCATATTTTCCTTTCAAATTGATCACCTTTAACCAGCTTGTTTTTGCCAATGGATGACAGAGCAGAGACACGAGTGATGCTACACCTAAGAGCATCCACCTATGAAAAGATGACTCAATCCATTTAAAACCTTTTCCTAACACGTTTGATCCTGAAGTGATCATTATTCATTATTACTGACACAACATCAAAGAAATACCTAGTACTTTGCAATAAATAGCAAGATAAATACTCTTCAGTGAGGATCTCATAATCAAAGAACCAGAATGCGCCCATATGCTCTGGGGTATAAAAGTAGATCTGAGATACAAATCTTTTCCAAAGTGCATTTTAAAAGTGAAGGGATTACATCCTTTGCATGCTCCCCACAGTATGAACTCGTGCAACAGGACAAGAAAGTGTGAACTGCAAAGAGGAGGAAAGACCCCCATGTTATATTTTCTGAAAGTTTGCAGCAGACAGCTTTCTGCTGCCAGGCTGTGCTAAGGGGCGTTCCACACTTCTCACTCTTCCTGAATACAGATGCTACGTCTGAAGGCCACAAGTTGGACTGAGAACAGGATGGGAATGTAACACAGAGTGAGATAATATAACACAGAAAGAGGAGAAAGAGAATATTATTGTTATATATTTATTTGAAGAGATAATATGTACATTTAGAGGGAAGTACGAGTATTGAAAGAGTTTCAAGAATTGAGGAAGGTTCATTTTTTAACTAATGGAAGCTACTGCACTAAGTAAAAGTATCTTTAAATACTCTCTTTAGTGCCTAAGGACAGCACTGCCCTCTCCTGGGAAAAATCTTTGGAACAGATTTGTCTTTATGTTTTTTTTCCATACCCAGGAAAAAAGCTATGAGGAGCTCCACTGCCTACGCGATCTATCATCGAGCTGTTTAAACTTGATTGAATTTATATGTTCTCTGAGAAAAGCTTTTTTTAGCTAATCGAAGGAAGCTATCTAGCTAAATCATCTTTGATGCTGTTGTTGAAAAGTAAGATATTGCCAGTAATAATTAATGGATATCTAAATATCCATAAAATCTCAGTAAAAGAGATAAAACCAATTTTATAATAAAATCAAAAAGATTTAAAAAATTACTTTAAAAAGCATCCTAGTGGAGGATAATAGAAAATTTCTAAAGGAAGAGCGAAAATTTTCTGAGTGGAGCTGGTCAGAAAATAAAGTCCCTTTTCTGGGGGGAAAAAAAAAGAGGAACGGTTCATCCTAATCAAGAGTGAGAAATAAAAACACAAAATTCCCATGCAAAATTGGATTTCAAATAAAACCTGTCCTAAAAATTTTTCAGCTGTCCATACACAGGCTCCTTCTAATTTGGCTTGCAGACCTGGTCAATTTTGTGAAAAACGGAGCAAACGAGAGCATGAACTGTTTTTCTCAAACTCTCTGACTCTAAAAATGAAGCTGAGGCCCAGAGAGAGCCATGCAGAGAATTAGGATACTTGGAGGTAGCAGATTATTTCTAGACTTTTGCTAACTTCATTTTCTATGTGGAGGAAGAAATTACAAAGAGGTTTCTGAGAGCATCCAGGGAGTTATTCCAGTTTTGTGTTTTTGTTCTGTTCCGCCCTCCTTCCCCCAACAGTATTTCTCTGTGTAAAACTCCGACTTTCTACAAATAGCATCAGGGGATCATTTCATTAGAAAAATTCAGCAATCTCTATTCACAATATATGTTTGAAAATACTTAATACCTATTTTTATTAAACTTTTCATCTTAATCATTGCAACTTTTAAAATAACCACCAAGAAAAGATGTTGGCTACTCAATTTGAAGCAAGCCCAGTTGGTAACGATTGAATCCTATTACCATCTGGCAGCTATTCAGTGCTTGTGTGAAATGACTTGGTGGTCTAAGTGTGGTTCCTATCATAAGTGCTGCCAAAAACAGTGAATTAACTGGCAAACTTACTAGCAGTCTCAGCTTGAAAGCCAAAGATTAAATGATCTGAGACTTCTGACTATAGAGTGGCAGGGGGAAGAGGAAATTAGTTATATCACGGATCAAGAGGAAAAACAAACAGGACCTGAAAAGTTGCCTGTTTCAGTTTGAAAAGAAAATTAAAATTTTGGCTACATTGAAAACAATGTACAAGTAAAAATAATGCTTAAGAATAAGGCTTCTTTAACTTTTCCCGTAATAAGAGCCACATTTTAATAGATTAATTTATATATCGCTTCCGCTCTTGAACACTGACTATCGTGTGCAGACCAACTTGCTCTTGAACTGGCAATTGTAGAACTTCGGTCCAGCAACTGCAGCAACTGCTTATACAGAGAAATAACACAGGAAGGTATTTAACATATTTGTATTTAATGTCTTAAATGCAATTTAGCAGCTGGAAACCAGAGAAAGGCCAGCACCATAAAATCAGCCAGCTCTCTGCAGACCACCACCAAGTGTTCCATAAACTACAGATTTTGTGATCAACTGCATTAATGAAAGTTTAAAAAATGCTTATTTTAAAACAGAAACTTGTGAACTTGAATGTGGCTTTGATACAGAATATGAAATAAAAGCTGCCTTTAGATTTAGGTTTCACCGCATCTGTGAATCAGATCATTCTTTCTAACTCAAGCCATTCTACAGCAAAACTGTACAATCTATTTTCTTCAGTAATTGTATTTTTTTTCAGTGATATAAGCAGAAATGGAATGTTGGACTTTACTCAAATTGTTTCTTTTTTAGGATGTTATGCAAATTACTGCAACTTTCAAGCATCAGAAAATGCATCTGGTGAACGAAGGATTTAATCCAGAAATTATATCTCAACCACTGTATTTCTTACATGAGCCTGCATGTTCCTATATTCCTTTGACAAGAGAGATATACAAAAAGGTGATTTCCGGTGAAATACGTTTATAAAGCATATATACAAAAAATGTTCTACAGCACAGAGAATAAATTTTAAATATATTCCTGCACATATTTCAACAAAAGCCAATATACCGTATTTGTTCTAAAACCGTAAAATAATCAAATTTTCTCATTGTGACAGTTTGTTCCATCATAATAAGACAGAGCCACAATTGTTATGCATATTGCTTAAGCTGCACCGCATCTGTTCAAATTATTTCCACTGCTCACACATACAAATTTTTGTCTTACGTTTCTCAGTGATTCAAATTACTATTTTTGTCTAAGCTACCTGTGGCCTAACTTAGTTGAATATCTGACTCCTCCATTAGCTCTTAATACTGGTTCTGCTTCTAGAATGCAGATACTTGTAATAAAATTTTAGATGAATAATGTCATAGACATTAATGAAATACAAAATAGGCAATCAGAAGCATAAGCAAAATACTGCACTAGCAGTTCATGTAGACTTCTGTTCAATGGTTGTTAATTATAGCGCGTGTATCTAATTGCAGTATTTTATGTTATGTGTAATTTCAGATTTTTATGGGAAATAAACATACAATGCTGAAGTATTGTTACAGTATTTAATTACCGGCATAATTCACAACTTGCCCCAGAACTGACACAGTTTAAACTATTCACAAAGATTCATCCATGCTGGCACATGACTTCTTCCTTTACTTACTGATTGTCTTACACCTGAAATGGAGTTCACGTGAAAGGAGAACAGAAAAGGCGATAACTTCTATAACTTGTTGTCTTCCAGCTTTTGCTGGAAGCGAACACCTAGAATTTGTTAAAAGGTGCTACAAAGATTCCCTGGCAGAAGCAGATCAGAGACTGCAGTATTAGCACATCTACCGGATGGACTAAAATGTTTGATATGTACTTTAAATATTTGACTACATACAAAAATCAAACAAATCCATACTTAGGCAAGCGAAAGCATCTCTGTAAATCTTCTTAAATTCACATTAGCTTTCTTTTGTCTGGATAAATAATATAGCTATTGCATTAAGGTCTTCTTCCCCATTCTTTCCATTTAAAGGCTTGCACAGTTAGCCTTTTCCTGAGCATAACATGAAGCTTATTTGTTCCTAGGTTTCAATAGGTACTACTACTACCACTGCTACTATTACTACTGCCGTTACTACTGCGTAATGCTTTGAAACATAATAACTGATCAGAACACTATTGCTTCCTATTGTGCAAACACAGAAGAGACTCTGGTCCTGCCCCACAAAAGCTCATTATCTAACATAAGAAATAATTTGACTAACAAAAAAACTTGGCTCTGATCATAAAGGCCTGTGATCCACCGTGTTCCCCAGCAGACAAAGTACTATGCAGTGTGTCTTTTAATATCCATTATCATGCCTCTGCCATTCCAGCCTCTGAGATGGACAAGACCTGGGGGACAAGACCCGACACGGCAGGTGGGAACGGGCTGCCGGAAAGCTAGAAGCTGACAATTAAAACGAGTTTTACAGAACCAGAAAGTGGCAGCACCCTGCATATAAGCATGGCCCCCTGAGATCTCCCATGAGACTCACAAGGGTTCTGAGCTCGGAGATAAGCAGAGCTCCGTGAGCAAAACAGTCTCAGAAGTCCCTACTTGTACGAATTCACCATTTGTGGATCAGGAAGAATACTGAGCACAATACGGGGTCAAGGAGGGCCCAAGGACCTGCAAGGGGTTGGAATTTAATGTGCGACTGTAAATCACCAAACACTTCCTATGACTGCAATGGAAGGGAACGAACTTTATTCGGCTTGCTGACAGTTCTCAACTCATGGGCATCGTAGTGTCAAGGATCTATCTTATAAGTTGACATCCTTTTTCCAAAATGTCAGACATTCTCAGACCATGATGTTTTATTGAGAGAGCTCTGAACTGGTTACAGTAAACAGAATATTTGTATTTTTCCTGCCATCTAATACCTATAAAACACACGCACACCCCTCTGCATAGATGTATCATTAAGCTTTATGGGGGCTATCCATGTATAACTGTTAATACCAGTAAACACAACTAAGTTTGCAATACATGACATTGAGAGAAATCCCAAAAGTTCAGACAAAACTGGTTGTCTATCTGACTTTTATTGTCACAAAATATAGTGCTTTAATATTGCTTGTCTAACCATTATTTCTTCTTTCCTTTCTGACCATTTTATCCTCTACATTCAGCTCTTTTCCTGCATTCACTCTTCAGAAAAGCAAAAATAATGAAGAACACAAGATAACAATTCCATCCATGGCTGCCCAATCAAAAGTTAATAGCTTATTCACCCGTGTATATGCCAACTGGAAAAGATTTACATATAATTTGCATTTATCTTAATAGAACTGACAGTAAACATAAAACATCACTGGAAAGCATTCATACAATGCATCAAAGAAATGCTTCACAGAGAGATACTTGAAACACTATTACTGATTTGTAGTCTGATTTTTAAAGGAACAGTAAAACATTACATTATCGTTAAAGATTACTAAACTTGTTATCATGATTTACTAATCTCAAGAAAAATATTTCAAGAGCTACAGACAATAGAATAGTTTTATAAGGTAGGTATGATCCTGTATTTAACAAACTATAGAAAAAACTTTTAATATAGCACAATCTTGTAGATATAATAATGCACTGAGATGATAAATGCTGCATTTACTACAGCATGCTGCATTCAATACAGTATGTTGTGCACTAAATCAAACAAAATAAATTACCAGCATAATAATTTTATACTGAATATAAAGTATATTTAGCGATAGTATTTCAAACATCTTTATTTTATACACACTGTAATCAATAAACCTCAATATATACATTTTTAGTAAAACAAATTGCTAATGTATGCTCTCTAATGAAAAAAAGAAAATCTTTCCAGTAATGAAATGATAATATAAACAGATACTGACATAATGCTTAATACCAGGAGAGTGACACTTAGAAAGACGAGGTGTCATGTGCCATCAAAGCACTGTATTGCAACTACAAAATCAATGGCAATAAAATATTTACAAAGCATTACAAGAGACATTAGTTGTTATCAAGTCATTATATTCATATATTCATGTTAAAAGCAGGACATCAATTGTAAGCTCTCCACAGCAAAGGACGTCCTTTTCTTCTTCTGCTTTGCGTATGACCCCTCACCATGGCATTTGGTGTCATAAATAAATCTTTCATATGCCAGTAGACTACAGATTACTTACTAGTCATTTATAATAACTTGTTGTAAAGTATTTAACAGGAATTTCATTTCAAAAACAAAAGTCTAATCTACTGAATGGAAATACTACAGCAATATTAAGGATTCACAACACTACTTTGAGAGCTCCTCTTAGCAGGCCCATACACATTTTGCATAATTACATACTACTTGGGTAAGGAGTTGCCTTTAACAGTGCTATCTGTGTACTCGGTCATCTCAAGCACCACAAGATGGTAGCATTTCTGAACAATATTGCCACTCACTTTCCTCTCCAGTAAGTTTCAACCCGCAGAATTTTCCAAAACAGTAATACTTAGATTTAGTTTTTTAATAGAGATTTTAAACATATTTATTATCCTTTTAAAATAATAAGCATAATATAACTTAACATATTGGTCCGTATTTACAGGCAAAAAAGGATGTCCTGCCTCACTACCTCTGAAAGTGACTATCCAGTGTACCTTCTAAAAGCGATAGAGAAAGTGCTGTTTCGTGTCCAGCTCAGTTCAATATTAGCATATGAATTAACTCTCCGGCTAAAGGAACAAAAGATATACTAATAATTTTCTGTCCACAGCAACGCAGGAGTTACCAGTACTTTGGAGGACATAAATAGAATGCAAAACAGTCTTGATAAACTGGAGACCCAGAGAGATGAAATTCAATAAAAATGTGTAAAGATCTAAACATAAGAAAGAGTCAGTTGTACCTATGCAAGGAGGAAAATAACTAAGCAGCAACACTTTGAAGAGGAGGGTTTACTGCTCAAAATGGTGAAAACCTCAGGACATTTCTTCAAAAGTAGGTACAAACAAACCAGGTTGTTCATTCTCCAAGGAGGCCACATAAAGCAAGCTGTAACCACAAACCATCGCGGTTATCCTGACTACTCAGCACTGTACTCAAGTTAATTTGACCTGCATGAAAGCTTATTTTTTCCGCAAGGCTAACATAGTTAACGCTGCTTCCAGAATAGCTCAGAGTGCAGAGACGAGGGCTCAGCTATAGCTGCACTCATCCATGAAGAGACAACTGAGACTGCTAACAGGCAATATTCATGATCTACAACTGTTGACATACAACCCGCCTAACTAGGCATGCAAGCTGCCTCTGAAAGCTCCTACCTCTTTCTAGTAATGACAAAGCCTTTCAACTCTGGGTGCTTTGAGCTGCAATTAAATTAGATGCCTACAAAAGACTGGAAGTAAGAAACTCTGAGCTAAGGGCAAAGACCCTTGAAAAGAACTCCATTTTCCCATGGGTCTCCCCTCATTCTCCCCGGGCCCCACAAAGGCAGAGGAGCAGCACCGACTTTCACGAGCTGCAGAGCCGAAGCTCAGAAAGGCTCTCAGGATAAAAAGCTCTCAGTGGCCTGGGCTCGACTCTGAACCACAGGCTGCTCTCAGGGTGAGAGAAGAAAACAAGGCAGTTCAGTATTATGAAACACTTTCTGACACGAAGTGTAGAAATTGGTAGGTTGCTGAGGAGAGCTATATGTTGTTGAGAGCTTTTAAAAAACCATGCCCCAGGCTTTTGGCTAGGCCATTTTCAATAGCTTGCTAGGGACCTACCTGAGGACATGATACTGTGACTACAGCA